CGCTTCTGTGGTCTAGTGGTCTGAGTTTCTGGCTACAGATCCAGAGGTCCCTAGTTCGATTCCCGGCGCTACCAAATTTTCTGAGTAGTTGGTCTGGAACGGGGTCCACTCAGCCTCGTGAGGATAACTGAGGAGATATTTCAATGAAATAGTGGCTCCGGTCTAGAAAACCGAGATTAACGGCCGTGGGGATCCGTTGCGCTGACCACGTGATACCCCCTATCCGCTAAAGTTGACACTAACTTCGCCGACAAGCGGCGGTCGCTCGGTCGGTATATGTCGCTTGCGGACTACAGGTCACGGAGTGTGATAGGTAGAGAACTTGCGACCGGCTGATCCCTTGTACAAGGAGTCCTACCAACTGCGTATAGGATCAAGATACTGAAAAGCGGCCAAGGCCCAACAAAGGGCTGTAAAGCCATAGACAGACAGACAGACAGATAGAATGTCTGCACACTTGAAACAATCTTTTGGAAAAAAAACAAACATATTATGACATGTAGACCCATAGCTAGGAAACGAGCTAGCAAACACGTTTCCATAGAGATGGATTCTTGGAAACTAAGTCGTTACGGAACGACATGTCTGTTGTCGAAGGTAGGAGAAACTTAACACACAACATGCTTCAACTACGCTTTATTTGAGACTGAGACTGGCGTACAAAGAGATCAAATGGTTTGGTAGAATCCCTCCAGACGGCGTGCAAGTGCCCTCCACACCAGATGGCGCGCGAGTGTCCTCCACACCAGATGGCGTGCGAGTGTCCTCCACATCCTCCCCACCCTGGTCTATCCCGATCTCCAGAGGGATAACCAGCTGAATGGGTCTGGCAATCTGCGAGCCGTGGGTCGTCCTCAGGAGCACGGTCCGCGCCACGCCATCTCTGCCAGGTCGAAGTCCTTCCACTCGAGCCAACTTCCACATGTGGCGTCGAATGTGGTCCTCCTGCAGGAGTACAACATCTCCAATCTTGAGCTCAGCTGATTTACGTGGATTCCGGCGTGTATGGAAGGATCTTAGTTCTAGGAGGTAATCCTTGGTCCAACGTCTCCAGAAGTCGTCTGCAATCTTTTGCCTCAGCCTATACAGCTTGCTCAGACTAGAAGTTGCTGCTGCTGCTTGTCCGGAGGGTATCGTGGTCAGTCTTTCTCCAGTCAGGAAGTGAGCTGGCGTCAAGGTGTTCTGGTCATCCGCCTTTGTGAGCGGTCTCGAATTGAGGGCGGCTTCAATACTGACAAGTAGGGTATTCGTCTGCTCTTCGTCGGTCTGCAGCTTCCCTAAAGTCTTCCGTAGACAGCGTTTAACGGATCCCACCATCCTCTCCCACCACCCTCCCCACCAAGCCGCCCTTGGGGGGATAAACTTCCAAGTGACATTGTGGTGAGCGAGATATTGGTGCGTGCGGGGATCTAACAACACGGAACCGAATTCCTTTAGTTCCTTGTTGGCTGCATGAAAGGTCTGAGCATTATCTGAGTAAATGGTGTGGGGTAGCCCTCTTCTTCCAACAAACCGTTGTAGGGCCATCAGGAATCGGTCCGTGGAGAGGTCCGTCGTAAGCTCAAGGTGCAGTGCCCTCGTGGAAGAGCAAGTGATTAGAAGAATGTATGCTTTCTTAGTGGTTCCACCGGACTTAATGTATAAGGGTCCGGCGAAGTCGATTCCTATATTTGAAAAGGGTTTGGAGGGTTGAACCCTGTCCGCAGGAAGTGGTGCTTCTAACGCATCTGCGTGTCGGTTGTGAGCTATTTTGCAGGGCATGCAGTCATGGAGCACTTTCCTTATGGCTTGGCGGGCTCTCAGTATCCAGAACTGTTGTCTGAGCTCCGTCAGAACAATATGTACTCCGAGATGATGAAGGTTAACATGGGTCTGCATGATCAATAGTTTCGTGAAGTGGTGAGAGCCGTCGAGTATAACGGGATGTTTTTCATCTGGCGTAAGTCTGGAGAACTGCAATCTTCCACCTAAACGAATCAATCCATCTTCCATGTAAGGGTTGAAACAAGCAATCCTCGATGTGCGTTGCACAAGTTCGCCTCTCTTTAGACGACTTACTTCCTCGGGAAAACATTCCGATTGGACTGCTCGGATCCAGTACATACGCGCCTTGTGTATTTCCGACGCCGTCAGGCCTGCTGGTGGTCGTTCGTTCCTCTTTAACATGTGAACAAACCTAATAACGAGGGCGGTGATGTGTAACACCTTCCAAAGGGAACTGAATCTAGAAATTTGAAGCAGTGGCTCGAACAAGGAGACGGTCAGAACTTGGTTCACAGCTTTCTTGGCCTCCGGTAGGGTGGGGTCTAGGACGTTAGTATCATTAGGCCAGCAGTTTGGAGGCTGTGCAAGCCAAATAGGACCATTCCACCATAAGGAAAAGGAGGCAAGTTTGTCAGCAGGTAGTCCTCGGGATAGGCAGTCAGCTGGGTTGGTCCCTCCTGGGCAATGTCGCCACTGGCTAGGGGCAGTGGAAGTTTGAATCTCGGTCACTCTGTTACAAACGAAGGTTTTCCATTTATTGGGGTCTCCTCGTATCCATCCCAACGTAACCAGAGAATCGCTCCATAAGGTAGCATCCGTAATCGGGTAGTCTGTTGCCCGGCTGAAGTAGCGGAGGAGCCTGGCACCTAAAAGAGCGGCAAGGAGCTCCAAGCGTGGAAGGGTGACCCTTTTGAGAGGAGCGAGTCGATTTTTGCTGCACATTAGTTGTACCGTAGCATCGTGGTCCATTGGGTTCCGAACGTAGAGCGCAGCGCCATAAGCTCGCTCGGAGGCATCGCAGAATACATGAACTTGTGACCCCTTGCTATGCATAATGTGAACACAGCGGGGAATGTTGAAACGAGACAGAGAAGTAAGAGTAGAGATCCAGTGGCGCCATCGTACTCCGAGATCGTGTGGCAGGAGTTCGTCCCAGCCAATCCCACGGCACCACGTATCCTGAAATAAAATCTTCGCCACTACTGATGTTGGTGAAGCCAGTCCAAGGGGGTCGTAGAACGTGGCAGCGGCCCGTAGGAGGCATCTCTTGGTAGTTGGACCGGCCGCTACTTTATCTGTGACGTCCCGATGATCAAAGTTGAAGGTATCGAGTTCGGTGTTCCAGTCAATGCCCAGAACTTGAGCCTGTTGTTTGATGTCTCGGCCTTCGGCCGTCCAAATGTCCTTTAGCTGCTGTGAATTAGTTGCCCACCTTGCCATGGGCATCTGTACTTTCTTCATAAGGCGCACGAGCTGGTAGTAGAGCGAGATTACATCATTATCATTTCCAACAGCGGCAACAAAGTCATCCATGAACATATGATCGTTGATGAGAGCAGCTGCCTGAGGAAATTCCCCCTCATGAATGGTGGCTAGCTCCCGTAGTGTAGCGGAAAGGAGAAATGGGCTGCAAGTGAGTCCAAATGGCAATCTCGTGAAGCGATACGATACAACCTCGTCCGTCAGGGTGTAGCTCCCATCCTCGTGCTTGAGGCAGTGATACCACAGGAACCGCGTCAAGTTTCTATCCTTGTGATGCAGGGTTAGCTGCAGAAAGGCTTGGCGTATGTCTCCTATAATCGCCAGGGGATGCTGTCGGAATCTTAACATCAAGGAGAGGAGCTCCGGAAGCAGGTTTGGTCCCATTTCCAGAGCGTCGTTGAGAGAGGGTGCATCCCTCTCATGTGCTGCTCCATCGAAGACGATGCGCCATTTCAAATGACCACGTTTGTCTTTCTTCACTAAATGGTGGGGCAGGTAGTAAGTATCCTGTGTCCCGTCTGTAGGCGGTGCAATCTCTACATGCTCTTGCCTGATGTAGTTGAACATCTGATCGTGGTAGACCTTGCGTAGCGTTTCGTCCCTTTCAAGTCTCCTTTCTAGTGAGTGGAACCGTTTCTTAGCGTGATGATAGTTGCTGGATAGGGAGACGTGTTCTTTTCTCGGAAGTGATACCACTCGTCGTCCATTCTGAAGACGGTGGGAAGCGTGAAACTGGGACAAAAGTAAAGAATCCCTTTCGCTCATGGTTTGAGGTTGTTCCAAGGAGATCCCTATCGTTTCTAAATCCCAAAAACGGCGAAGGTCATCGTCTTGGGGAGAGGCTGCTTGACCCAAATTTATGTAGTTCACAGTCGTGAAATCCACAGTGATGCCGGAGCGGCTTCCGCTGAGTATCCATCCAAATCGCGACGGTAGTAGTACTAGGGATGGCGACAGCCTTACAGGTCCAGTATTTTTAACAATCCTCCAGTATTGATCGCCGCCAATCAGAAGTTCGATAGGAAAATCAGCGCTATTGTCCTTGGGGTCCGCCAGTTGCAGTTTACGAATGTTCCCGAGAGTCTGGATGTCATGGGGGACCCTTGGAAGAGGAGAGAAGGAGTGATCGCTCTCAAGTGCAAAGACAGGGATGCTGAAATTCGTCCAGATACCCTTTATGTTCATCTGGACCAGTCTGCGTGAGCTGGAGGAGGGAGACTCGGTCTCAAAGGAACTTACTGACAAGGTCTTATTGTCGATCACCTCTAGCAGTAGTTCATCTATTAGGGATTTATTCACAAAACTCGACTGACTACCTCCGTCGAGTACGCACCGGGTAAGCTTGCTCCTCCCCGTCGGTCCAGTAATCCATACCCGTGCCGTCTGCAGGTACGTGAAGTTGAGGGACGAAACGTCTATCCTGTTTACGGATGTCTCCGGCGTTTGCGAAGTGGGGAGCATCGGATCCCGGTTGGTTTGACAGATGGATCTGTGATGGCCGCCCCTGCAGTTGGAGCAATGCACTCCTCCCCTCTTATTGCATGCCCTTGAGTTGTGGCCGCGGTTGAGGCAAAGAAAGCAGCGGTTGGTAGCTTTCAGTTTCTGGATGCGGCTATTCACATCCGGGACGACCGTACAGTCCTGGGCCCAATGATTACGACCTTCGCAGAAGACAGAAGGGTTCAGCAGGTCTCTTCTTCCTTCGCTCAGTCCTCTTCTGCTTCGAATGGACATGGAGAGTCACTGCGGTAGGCGTAAAGTCCGAGTGAGACGGCACCTCCCCATGAATCTTGCTCGCAATCAGAGCCCCGTCTACTTCTTCGTTCAAGAACGTCATCAGCGCGGAGAGGTTGCCTTCCGCCGTATTTGTCCTTTTGGAATGGATAAGCCAGCGGCGGCAGAGGGCGTCGGGGAAGGCTCGCAGAATTTTCGGGGCAAGCACCCGACCGTAGGCATCGACGTCCTCACCCAATGCTATTAGCGCCTGGATCCGCCTGTTACATTCAACATACGTCGTATTCAGGGATTCCGGGTCATCGTGAAGGGCTGGACTAAGGTTCTCTAAGTAATCCAGATGAGCCTGAATGATCCGGTTCTTGTCTCCATATTTAGACCGAAGGATTTTCTTGGTCTGCTCGTAGGTGTCCGCAATTACAGGAATGCCATCCACGAGACGCTTAGGTTCTCCCTCTAAATATCCTCTCAAAAACACGTGCTTTTCAGTCTGAGACACTGACGGGTTCTGGTCGACGGACGATTGGAACTGCTCCCAAAATCGAGACCATGCTTCTACATTCCCGGCGAAGGGCTCTAGTTTCATCGTGGGCAATCTAACAAAACTCGGAGCAGCGACTACGGGAACCGAGGGTGTCACACTGAGAGCGGACGTTGAAGCGGCTAGCCTCTCGTCCAGCCCCTTCGCGGCGCGATGTATAGCACGCTTGGCCGAGTCAATATATTCCTCACATTTTTCAACATCCGTCGGGAAATCGCTGTCTGATAGCAAATCATGTATCGCCTCGTCTAATACAACAAGTTTGTTCAATGTCTCCTGAAGTCTGCCTTGTGAGTACTGATAATCGTCCGCTGGAGTTGTCTCTGTATACCCATTTATCTCCGAGACAAAGCGAGTTACGTTCGCCCTTTCTCTGGTGCGTTTGCGCTTCAAGTTGTGAAGCTTGTCTGCAGATGGCTCTGCCATCGAAGGTCGCACTCTGTATTACCGACTGAACAGCTGGAGCAGGACTAGTGCCGTGGGTAGCGTTGCAGTCGCTTAACGGCTAACGGTAATTTCACAATGTGTACCAGGCAAACTAACACGGCTCTACGTATAAACAGAATGCAGTCCTCACCTTCGTGTCCAGCACAATAGATGTGCGCGATCAGATCCTACTACGGCAGTAAGAGTTCACGTTACAAATACGTTTCCCCTCGTGGCGTAATGGCATGTTCGCAGCGGCGTTCCGCGTACTCCAGTCTTCCAATCCACTCTTCCTTCAAGGCATCTGAGTCTTGTCTTGTAAGAAAGTGTTCCGGGTCCTCGAGGTTGCTTCGTGGCGTGATCTACTGTAATCCCGGGTTTCGGCACCAACTTTTATGTTGTCGAAGGTAGGAGAAACTTAACACACAACATGCTTCAACTACGCTTTATTGAGACTGAGGTACAAAGAGATCAAATGGTTTGGTAGAATCCCTCCAGACGGCGTGCAAGTGCCCTCCACACCAGATGGCGCGCGAGTGTCCTCCACACCAGATGGCGTGCGAGTGTCCTCCACAATGTCCATGAATACGAGTGATCAACAAACATTTCCTTAGATTGCCACGTGGAGGCCGTGTCGAATACCTCCACCTCAGCCCTGCGAGTCGTAGGAGGCGACGAAAAGGGAAGTCTCGAATGTGAGACAGTAAAATACCGTCACCACGAGCCCCACGGGACTCGGGCCCGAAAATGACTGCACTGGCGAGGGCCATCAGCAATTTTAAACGACAGACCCATCCTCTAGTCGGAGAGGATGATACACAAGGACTATAACCGCAAGTGTTCAGTTGGGAGAAAATACTGGTCGTGAGTCTCAAGGGGTTTGTCGCCAAGACGAACTGAATGGCGGTAAACCGCCACTCGTAAAGTAACTCTGACTCTGCAGCCATTTATTGTGAATTGTTGTAAGCCACTGTGATTAGGAGTGATTGCACAAGATGTTAATAAACCCAATCATCCTTATTATTATTAGGCACAGGGACAACTTTGCCTTTTTAAATATTAAAATATTCTAATTGGAACTCAAATTAAGTTAAGCGTTAAAAGGCATGTGTGTATACATTTTTTTTCTTTGTGTTGTCGTGTCCCTTTTGTCTTGTGTTGCCAGGTGTTTAGGTGGTGCTCCCCAATGTGCATTCTAGTTTAGCGTGTGATGTTGATGTTCCGGTTATGTGTGGTGTAGGGGTGTATGATGTCTTGTTTTCGTGTTCACTTCTTCCCATGGCCTGCTCTTGTGTGGGGAGTGTTACGCCTGCGCGAATGGTTCAAAACAACTGTCTGTTTCTTTGCTTCGCAGAGGTTCATATCTTATGGGCACAGCACCAGGTGCATCACAGCTCCGAAGAGTACAACCTGCCGGTAGGGCTGAGACACTCCATTCTGCAGAATTGGTGCGGCTTTGTAAGTTCCCGCTTCCCCGTAACAAGAACAAGGAAGAGCTAACAAGAGTACTGTGCTCCAAATTGGAGTATACATTTTCCAAATGCTTTCTTTGAGAATTTATGCCTCTCACTAACCTAAAATGTATATATTGCTTATACAAACATTGTGGGAGTCGGTCAAGCTCAGGAAGTATAACGAATAGGCTTGGGATGGACGCCTGGGGTTCGATTTCCGACGGGTGCAAGAGATTTCTCTGTACGCCACAGCATTCAGACAGGCTCTCGGGCCCACGAAACTTCATATCCAATGAGTACCAATGAGTACCAGGGCCTCCTTCTTCGGGATAAAGCGGTTGGGGCATGAAGCTGACCACTCGCCTTCATCTAGTGCCGAGGTCAAGAAAATATGGATCTGTACATCCACTCCTCCATACGCCTTCACCGAAGTTTCGGAGGAACATGGTACCTCCATCTTCAAGGTCGAAAGTGTTGAGAATCTAGTAATGTAAAAATGTTCAAGTTGGTAATAGTGATCTATATTCATTTGTTTTTGTTTTCTATTATACTAAAACGCTTCTTCTCATCCAATATGGCTGTTAAGTGATATGTAAGCACGACATAAAAAATCAGCAGAAAGAAAAGCAGTGCAAGAAACTAGCGTGAAGCAGGTAGCTAACAGCTTGACTTTCACTGGAATATGCGGCGTATTATCCCAGAAGACAGAGCTCCTCAGTTTCAGTTTGGTTTGGAAGCCTTCTCTTTCGCTTCTGGTAGACAGAAGATAAAGTTATCTCTGTAACAGTCTGTGGAGGCCCATAGAGTTCTGAGACGTCGAGGCTACCACGTTTTCTCTAGACAATCAGCTCACAGATGGCGGTGAGGTTATCGGCCGCTCTTTACCACCCAGGAAGATTCCTGGTACTCATTTCTGTTAGAAGCTGAGTCGACCCCAGGGCCATAGTGCGGCTGGAAGGATTAGGTAAACTGAAAAATCCAATCACCTCAACCCATGACCTTCCGGCTTGTAACAATTATGCTACTAAGTGCTCCTTCGTAGGTAGACACTATAGGAAAATACCTTAGAATCAGTTTGATTTTATAATGTAGGGCTGGGACACCGCGTTACGGTACCCAGTTTGATTCTGGAAGTGTCAATTGTACTGTGGCTGTGTACTATTTGTTAGGCTCGTTCCAAAAATGGTGTCCATATCTTTAAACAACATCTGGTAGATGTATATGTACAAATGGCTTGTTATACACGGCGGATGCGTTCCTGAAAATCACCGCATATATCTAAAGGAAGGTACGTGTAAAATCAGGACTGTAGATAAAGAACACTGAGCATAGAAGGTTACGAAACAAGGTAACTGGGTCAAAATGGTGGGGAAAATGAGGGAAACCGCCCACACAAATCACAGGGCATGGGCGGCAGACTGTTGTCATGGCTGCAAATTGGCCAGGTTACTTAAGGAAGCTGTCGGTATCAAGACATTACTGATGGTAACATGAGAAACGAATTGGAAAAAATTTAGAAGAAACCAGTAGGCTTAATCTAAGTACTGAAAAACCATAACAAGCCTCATTCAAGATAGGTGTCTCACCTGAGATTTGAACCAGCCGCAAGATACAAATGCTATGGGTAATGCAATAAAACCACAGATAACTATTTACCTATACACAATAATGGAGGTAATGCATAAATATGTGTTTATTTGTTATCACAAAAGTCCTCCATGTTACATTAAAACTATTGTAATATATTTACATACTGTATTTATGAAGGTAATACAGATCAGCCACTCATAAGGCACAACGATTCAATTATTATGACCTAAAACTTCAGTAACACTAACACAAAGGCCAACCTCAAGATTAGATTCTAGATGAGTACTATCCAATTCACACTGCCTAAACCTGTTTCATAAATTTTGTCCAAAAAAAGATATCTTCCTCCAAATATTTCCCCATTAGCATGTAAATTGTTGTGCCCTTTAAGTCGCATGTCTGTGTCTGTCTGTA